TCTCTCTCTCTCTCTCTCTCTCTCTCTCTCTCTCTTTCTTTCTCTCTCTCTCTCTGTGCCTTCCCTTAGCCCCAAATCTTTTTTATTTCTCTGCTTAGTCGTCATGATAAGAACCCTTACCACAGAAATAGCAACACACAGATCGCTACCCTAGAATTACAACGTTCTATCTGCCCAGTACCTAGTTTTGAGGAATTTGGCATAAAAAATTTCGAATTTCACTACATTTCAAGCTTTTTTAAATACAATCTTTTGAAGAGCTTGATAGCTACTCCGAATAATCTTACGATTTTGATAGAGCAGATAGAAAATTTAGTTTCTGATCTAATGGGTTAAGTAACTCAAAACGACCAAAAATATAAGATAAAACTTTGCAATTCTGAGGTAGTGAAGTGTTAACTTGTTCTTTCCACACAATCTCTCTCGTCGTTTGCTTCATTAGATACGGAGACGGAGAAAACCGATCAGAACATCGATGTCGCAGAACAGCCTGCCGCCACACTAACAGGAGAGGCGTATGCACAATCTTCTGCGGCCTACTTCTCTCGACAAAGGTATCATACTAAAATAAAAATAAATAAATTGCACTTTTTATTTGTCCCGAAAGGGCACTTTGTTTTACAATGGCAAACATACATTTCCATACATTAATACATAATTATGAATACGTACATATATAAATACATGCAGAAATACACACACTAATACACAATACTACACTAATACAAAATAGTTTACAAACATGCCACAGTCGGTCGCCACTGTTTAACGCCCTGTTTTTTGGGCTAGGGTTGTGTCTTGCTCAAGGACACACACCAGTGACCACCCATCTGATCCCCGTGTCATAATCATATTTAGAACGTTATTGTTGAGGTTTTAGTCCTTATCTACATAATCTAGTTCATGTTGGAGGCGCGCTGCTTCGATAAACTTGCCAGGGTCAACCTATGAGAATACAACGCCCAGACAGGCAAGCATAATATGGAGGTAATCTATAAACAAAAGTCTCTCCACACGGGAATCGAACTCGTGTCTTCTGCGTACGACAGCGCAGCGAAATGCCTAACTGTAACACCACAGAAGCAGGCCTCGACAAAGTAAAGCTTTGCTCTATTACCTTTTATTCTCTCATTAATTGTCCTTATCAGAGGCCCTAGTCTTTTGTGGTTTTCCAAACTCCAGCAGCCGAGGAAAAAAACTATAGGCAGTTATTATATTGTGCGTGCTATTGTGATAATTCTTGCCTTGCCTTGTCTTGTTTCGAACCCCTGACACTTAATGGGGTCTTCTTTTCAGATTT